TCGCAACCGTCTCTCACTCCACTGGAGCTTCAGCTAATTTTTAAATTGGTTATCCGTTCATCCTCGCAGATATATATATATATATATATATATATATATATATATATATGGCTGGAAAGCTTATGGTGCCTTAAGACTGGTGGTGACTAGATCCTAACTGAAGATCGACTCCCTGCTGCTACTGTTGTGCCATTTGCTCATGTCCTGGACGCCTCCTCGTCGCGAACGCTGGATGGGAGTAGGGTTACCCCCTTCTCCCTGCTAAGATCCAGGACACCAATCCATATGAATCAGTGAACTGACCATGTGCTAGACAAGCTGCCTTTCGGGTGTACATTTAATCGAAGGCTTTGGTTGACGACCCGGGCCGTTATTGTGTCAGGTGTGGGCGCCCTGCCATTATCCCAGTCCACGAAGTGGTCAATGGACCTCTTCCCGGAAAACCTAGCCATGGGAGACAACATGTTTACGGGATATAAGCTCATAGCTCAATTGGTGTAGAATACGAGCGCTACGCATTGTTTCTGACGGTGAAGGGCACCTACGGGTGCTCAATGGTTTGCTATTGCCCGCCTCAAGCCAGGCAGCCCCTGGTCAAATTGGTGCAAACCCGACAAAACCCACCTGTGTTTGGCCGTGGTCGCAGTTGCGTATCCTACTACGGTCGCAAAACATATACGAATCGTTCCAGAACCTCAAAGGCTGCGTGTGATAGCCGTCAAGCAGATCCCAATCTGTCGCTGCAATCACATTCCCGAGCTGGATCTGCTCCCTACTGTCTGGTGGGTTAGGTTATTGAGATAAAGGCTCCAGGCGGAGTCCCTCAAACAAACCTCCAAACAACCCACTGCCTTGTGGGTCAGGCTATTGAGCCAAAGGCTCCGGGTGGAGTCCCTCAAGCAAACCTCCAAATCACCCACTGCCTTGTGAGTCAAGATATTAAACCAAAGGCTCCAAGTGGAGTCCCTCAAACAAACCTCAGAAACACAACGACCACCTCGCGTGCGATTGCCCACCAATGCAATCCTATGCCTGCGCGCAAAACACTCAGCATCGGCTACTGGAACGTGCGCACACTACTGGACTGGAACTGCAGTGAGCACCCCGAGTGACGCACTGCACTGGTCGCAATGGAGCTGGCGCGCTACCACATCGATATTGCGGCGCTCAGTAAGACCCGGCTCGCTGAGCAAGGTAAGTTGCATGAAGCAGCTGCTGGCTACACACTCTACTGGGTGGGCAACGCCACCTCAGCACCACGTGAACATGGGGTCGGATTTGCAATATCCGATCGCCTGAATGGCCAGCTGGTGGGTGAACCAACGGGCATCAGCGCGCCACTGATGACTGCTCGCCTACGACTCGGAAGAGGTAAGTTTGCTACTTTTATAAGCACGTACGGTCCGACCATGTGTTATCCTGATGACACGCGTGATCAGTTCTACACTGAGCTATCCTCCGTGATACGGTCTGTGCCGAGGAGCGACCGACTATTTCTGCTGGGTGATTTCAACGCGCGCGTTGGGCGTGATGCATCAGCGTGGACAGATGTTATCGGTGCGCATGGCATTGGTTCAGCGAATGCGAACGGTGACAGGCTGCTCTCACTGTGTGCCACTCACGGCCTGACGATCACGAACACTCGGTTTGTACTGAGTGCGAGTGATATAGCAACTTGGACACAACCACGGAGTGGTCACGCTCACCTACTCGGCGGTGTCATCGTACGGCAACGTGATATGCGTGAAGTGCGCACGACACGTGTACTGCGTGGAGCTGAGTGTGGCACTGATCACAAATTGGTTCGGACCAAACTGTACATATATTTTCGTAAATCGATGTATTGCACTCCCGCCGTGAATCGCAGGCGTAAATTTAACATTATATCCCTCGGTACTGTGGCGAAACGTACTGAGCTGAAGAAGGCGATGGCTGGACGACTGTGTGATGTGGACTGCATAGCTACAGTGGGCGATCTGTGGCACTACATTCGCGACCAGATGACAGCTGCTGCCGAGGAGACCATCGAGCGCACAAACTGTAAGAGACCTGATTGGTTTGACCAAGACAATGCGACGATTGGCGCATTGCTGTTGGGAAAGAATGCAGCATTTGCTGCACATGTAGCCGACCCAAGTAACTTGGGGAAGAAGTGTAGGTATCCCAAACTTCGACGGCGGCTGACCAGAGAGCTCCGTCGCATTAAAAATGCATGGTGGGCGGAGAAGGCGAAGCAGATGGAATGCTATGCCGCACGCCACCAAGATAAAGAATCCTTTTACTCCATGAACGCGGTGTATGGACCGAGGTTGGAGCGACTGAGGATGTTAATCGATGGTAGTTCGGGTGCTGCCTACACATAGGCTGCAGGTCTGGTAGAAACACTTGACTGTCTCTTGAACAACTGTTCAGAGATCGACTGGCCTCCATTGCTCGGCCTCAAGCAACGCGAGGGGATAAGGAGGCTGGCGGACAAGCTGAACTCGAGAGCCAGTATTTGGAGCCAGTGATGATTAATTAAAAGAATTAGGTTCCCAACCTCATGATAGAAATATCAAAGTAATCGGACGAGGTGTCACCAGAAACACGAAACGACGCAAACAGGAGGAGGCGGGTAGTTCAGTAAGAAGTGCAAATATGTGCGAGGGAAAAATAATGACAATGGATACGTGCGTGTGAGCACAAATTACCATGAATATCCGCAGTACATCAATATACTAGTTTGATGTCTCGAGACCGTGTACCCAAAAATAAGCCAGAGGTTCTGGTAGAACTTAAGAGTTAGGAAAAGAGAGAGACTTAAAGCAACAGACAACTGGCTCAAGTCGATTCGTCTACCGGCTGGAAGAAGCGCCTGATTACAATGCGAGATGTGAAGCACTGATTTTCGTGCGTCATTCTGAAAAATACAATGAGAAAACGCGTGCTGCAAGATTAGCTCGTTACTTACTCTGATCACATACAAACTAGTAGCGTATGTAACGAGCATCGAAGGAAAAATTCAACGAGTTGTTGTCCGCAAAAAAAGAATACGCGTACTGGCACAGGCTGCAACAGATTCATTGATTGGGAGATGAATATAGCAGTTATCTACCGCAATACAGACGCCAAAATATTCAAGTTCGCTGACGTCGTGGGCATTATTCGCAATCGTCTAGATTTTTGTGTGCAAAAGCAATTAACTGTTACACTCAATCTTCGTTGGGAATCGTGACATTTATCCAGTACTAACACATCTTAAACAATGCAAACCGGTCATGCGTCGACAAGCGGTAAAGGAGACCGGCTAGACTCGGTGCACGAAAAAGGTGGTCTCAGGTAAGCAGTCAGAAGTAGTTCAAACCGCCAGACAAGTCCTTGCAGGTATCATTTACCACCTGGTTTCGATTCCTCTCCAATCAGATTCTTTGTTAATACGTTTGAAAGTCGCTGAATGAAGGACAAACAAGTCAAGATTTGATGAACAGCGCAAAGGCATCTGGATCATAATCCACAAAGTGAAGTGGTAGGTTAACTGACTGGTTCCTTTGGAGCACATTCGGTTTATCTCGAGAAACCATGGGGAAATCATAAGCTGTCCTTCGGACAAAGATATGTACAGAGATCGGTGCAGATACGGAAGGAATTACGATCCGACCGTAGCGCTACGTACGTTTGGCATGCATGACTGTCTCGCTATATGCTGTATGAGTAAACAACAGGAGGATCAGTAGCAGAATTGCAATAACGCAAAAGAAAGCTCAAGCAGACAATCACTAACATGCGAGGAGACATTGGACGGTCGTTTCATCCTTTCGAAACCCATCGAGAATGCGCATGTTGTCCCATTAACCAATTAAAAGAGTGGTCTTTGTCAAGTAACGGTATGAGCCTCTTGGCTCAAACAGTTATCCGTGGAGGACGCGGTTTGTTGTGGTGTAGTGCGGTCCACTCCACACTGCTGCCGTGCAGAGAATATGACAGGAGCGACGAAGTGTCAAGTTTAAGGCACAAGCCAATAGGCCGGGAACAACTTTATCGCACAACTCGTCGCTCGCTAAAGTCAACAAATGTTTACAAAGAAACGAGGAGTGATAAACACTCGGACAGGGTCCAGGGCTCAAACATTCAGAAGATGGAGAGAACGAGTAGAAGTGTTGTGAAGGTCAGTCTACGTTCTTCGATATGCATGGTACAAGGACTGATTTGAGATGAATTTCAGTTAGGTTGCAATGTCTAGTGTGATAGCATCTGGTCAATAAGATGCATGCAGACAAGAGGCTAACCAAGTTCCCACCACGCGAACTGCATAAGATCGTACGTCACGGAGGGAAAAGACAGTATTGGTTCGATCCAGGGCCAACAAAGAAGGGAGAGAAATGGCTGAAATCTTGCACGAACACTAAGTGCAGCCAATGAACTCAGATTGATGACACAGGATGTAATCGCAGCCGATCAACTAAGTAAACGGAGGTGGTGTGTGATGAGTGAACGAAACACGAAGCAAGCGCCGTCCACGCAAGCCGAACTTAATAGCATGGGTCGTCAGGGAAGTGGGACGGCCAACGTGAGGAAAACTGAAAGTGGTTTGGACAGAGTACCGCAGATGATAGACGGTATAAAGAGCAACAATGAGAAATAAACAGTAAAAAAACTGCATCAACCGAGTACCTTATCAAACTTGTGCACTGTATAAATGATTCTACATATCATGAACAACTAATTTTGTTAGCTACTCAGAATTCGTTTTGATTTTTGGAGGGCTATGCGGAACCCAGTAGGAACGAGAATGCATGAGGGTGATGTAAAACAGAAAGCGATAAGCAGCGAATATGCAAGAAGTATCAGGTTAGAGAAGAGCTTACGAGAATGGTGCGTGTGGGGGGCCCGAACGCGGTGATTAGAAGTCATATCGGTGAATTGCGCTTATTCGAGATGAAAGAAAAATTGGTAATGGAATCGGACAAAGAATAAGGCATCGGGGTATAAGAAAATGATGCAAAACAGGGCAAGAACACACATTGCGACAATGATACAGGTTTATTTAAGAAAAGAGCAAAAGTACTGATCAATAAATAAAAGTGGATAAATATATAAAAACCAACTTGGAAATGCAGTCAAATAGGTACAAGAAATGATGAAAATCCCATAGATCTACATGCTTTGTGAAGGTTTCGAATCAGAGTTAAATGAAAAAGACGGGGTGGCCCAATCCCAATCCTCGGCCGACAGGTCACAAGTGACTCTAGACTGGAGCAACCCCGAAAGCTGTCCTATGGTCATTTGCATCAAGAATGCCCTGTCCTCCCCAGGACCTGGTAACCCGGACGACCCGTGAGTGGAGCGTCGAGGGCCAGCGCCAATCATGCAGCCGGTAGTCGCCATTGAGGTTAATGAGGGGTCGGCTCGCATTGCCTCGGCTTGAGCGCGCATGTGCGAACTGTGGAGAGTGGCTTCGATACTGTCACGGACCAGGAACCGATGCACTACGCCAGCACTGAGTTTGTGGAATAAAAGAGTGGGAGAGAACGGCAACGATGAGTTGAATGCGTTATCAGTGAGAAGAGAAGACCTGAACAGAATCAGTCAGGCAAAACCCTACACAAGTGAAGCGCAGCAGCGACAGGTAATCGCCGGTTTTAGGCCAGTAAATGAAGAAGAGCAAAATGTGGGTGAATCAATGATATTAGACGATGGGGAACAGAAGAGGTTCATAAAGAAATGGGTATATATATAACGTGCAGCGATTTATATGCCACATGGCTGTCCGATCTTCGTTTCACCTAGATACATACGAGAAGCGTGATAAATCATCATCATTATACACATCAGCTAGAGGTGGGAAAACACCTCCGCTATTGTACCGCAATACATAAAGGAAGTACATACATACACAGAATACAATACACAAAGGAAAAATAGATAAAACAGTTGCATGCCAGCTGAGCTACAAGCAACGGATGGGCATCGTTCCGGTAAGCTTCCAGCCAGCTACTAGGCAAAGAGAAAATTTTTTATTACGTTTTACCCTAGGAAATGAGATCATAGATGGAGGGGGAGGCTAAAAGGGATGAGGAGGGACAAAGAAACTCACAGCACAAACGCCACAGAAGTCGGCTCCTTGCCATGTCAGCAAGTGTATCCAGCCAAACGTGTTCACCGTCTTTTGGACCCCAACCAGGGAGTCGAGACGCTCCAACCGAGGCCAGCTCAAAATTGAGGGACTTCATTCCCCTGGACCAAGTCATCGCTTGGCCACCTCTCCTCTTCTTCCACCCACATCCCCGGTGAGCAAACAACGCACGTCGAGGGAGTCGGTGGGCTGGCATGCGCAACACGCGGCCAAACCTCCGGAGCCTGGTGCGGGAAATAACGGTGCTGAGCGGTTCGAATTCTTTTCCTGGGCCGTAAACAATGCGTCGAACACGCTCGTTACTCACACGGTGTTCCCACCAAATGTGAGCCAAACTGCGAAGGCACCGATGGTCGAACGTAACTAGCCTATTGTAGGGGCCAGATTTCGCAACCGTACAGTAAGGTCGAACGTACCGCTGCATTGTACACTCTACCCTTCAGGGCAAGAGTGATGTCGCGCCGCCGCCATAGGTGGCGAAGGTTTGCAAAAGCACTTCGAGCTTTCGCTATACGGTTCGTGATCTCGTCTTCGATCCCAAGGGCGCTGATACAACTTCCCAGGTAATTGAATTTCTGAACGACTTCTAGCTGATCATCACCAAGGGTCAGAGCAGGAGGCGATCCCTGCCAACCTTGGAGGAACGCTTTGCACTTCGATGGTGCAAAGCAAAGCCCGAAGCGACTGACAGCCAGTGCTAATCTGTCCAGCGCGGCTTGGCACGTCTGGGAGCTGTCACAGATGAGGGCAATGTCGTCTGCATACTCCAAGTTAAGAAGTCGTTCTCCTGGGAGTAGCTCCACACCTTCCAAGTCATGTCCTGTAAATGCTATCTCCATGACTTCGTCAATAGCGAAGTCGAAGAGGAAAGATGACAGCGGGCATCCTTGTCTCACACCGCTGGAGATATTAAAGGGTGGCGACAGCTTGCCGTAAGCCCTCACTCTGCCTGTGCTACGCGCGTATAATGCTCGGATAATATTTACATATTTCACGGACACACCTTTCCTGAGAAAACAATTCCAAAGGGCACATCGATCAACCGAATCGAAGGCACCTTTGATGTCGAGGAACACGACAGCGGTGGGCCGCCAATATGTGTGGCGGTGCTCCAACAACTGACGCAAGGTGAAGATGTGGTCGATGCAGACACGACCACGACGAAACCCGGCTTGCTCCTCACGAATCTGGCTTTCACGAGCGCCAGTCAGTCTGTGAAGAATTATGGAGGCGATGGATATCAGACTGATTCCTCTATGGTTACCGCATTCCGAGCGCGAGCCGCCTTTGAAGATGGGAACAATAACGAAGCGGCTCCAGTTGGTTGGGACAGTCTCCTGCTCCCACAGTTTCACTAGTAATTCATGTAAAGCATCAACAAGAGCAGAGCCTCCGAATTTGAAGAAGGCTGGAGGAAGTTCATCTGGTCCCGCGGCTTTGTTCAACTTCAACAGTCCGATCTCACGTTCGACTTCTGAGCAAGAGGGTGGATCCAAAGGGACAGCCCAAGGAGCAGGGCGATCAGTGACCGGCGAATCGAACAATTCTAGCCGATTAAATTGCTTTTCAAAATGCTCAGCCCAACACTCCAAACGTTTTGACAAATTGTGGGTAGGCTGTCCAGTCTCATCACAAATTGTTTCCCTAACACCAGGTCTCCTGCTGACCGTTTCCCGTATCAGACGGAATAACTTACAATGGTTGCCAAGGGCAGCGGCCACTTCCATCTCTGACGCATGATGAGACCACCAAGACTCGCGGTCTCTCTTCAGGCTAGCACGGAGTTTTGCCCGGAGCTCTTTGTGAGTTTCATTGTGCTCGTTTTCAGCCGGGATATGCCGGCGAGCGTCGATATGTTCCAGAGACCGAGAAGAGACCCAATGTCCATGTTGGCTTTTAGACATATCACATGAGGATTTGCCCGCTGCTAGTAAGGTCTGGCGAACATGTGACCAGTGACCATCAATTGTCTCCAGTGAGCAAGTACTCAACTCGCATGTCAGCGTACTGAAGCGTGATAAAACTTAGCTGCCGATTGCGGTGTAGATCAAAGGGAAGATGTTGGGGGCCAGAATGCAGATGACCTGAGAGAGTACCTCCCCCTGCGATCAGCCGCGAATCGAGTAAAGCCGGTTGAGCAGGACTGCTATTTCCTACCGCACTGAATGACAAAGTGCTATGCGTGATGTGAGCAGAAACAGTATATCTATGTATATATATATATAGCGAAATCCGAAAACAGGGTAGATTAAACGAAGAAAACAAACAAATTTTTTGTCCATTTTCCAAGCGCATTGAGCTTTATTGGATGTTTTTTTACTGAGGAAGGGAAGGAAATGATCCACCCATGGTTCGTCAGTGGACGAGATATTACCCGGTTGCCCAGACCGAAGTAGAGGGTTGTCTTAGGGGACCCAAACCGGAGCCTTTGATCAAGGATCTAACCTATAAGGCAGCAGGGCGATATGTGGGTATCGCAACCCGTTGGGAGCCGGTGACCAAACAAGTGGTTCATACGACTTTAGGAACGCATAGGACCAGGGGCCGAACACACGCTTGAAATACTCAGAGAGCGGAAAGGGGCAGTAACTTCAAATTCTTGGAAGATACTTGGAACCGATCGAGTAGTCATGAGTTCAGAGAGATTTGGAAACAATCGGTTTGGTATAGTAGTTTGGTAACGTTTCGCCTCTAACATAAAGGCTTCGTCAGACCAGGTGAATCAGTGTGCAATTGGTGTGGGATTTTATAGCGAACAGGGGCGATAACCGCTTTACCCGAGTCTTGAGCCATGAGTCATTACAGGAACAATTCGGAATGTCACCTCAGGTGGTTCGATCACAGTGGGAATAGTCCAGGTGTTCCTTTGTGCGTCATGACATTGACGGATAAGCCCGTAGTGTTGACAATGGGAGTCGGTTTGCACTTTTCAATCTGATCCACGCATCGATGCTCGTCAAGCTGGTCGGCTTAAGACCGCCCGCCACACATTAGGGATTTCTACCCCCTCCATTCTATTCACGCAGTCGTCAGATTTGGCAATTTCCACCGCCTCGGCAATCAACCGCTGAGTGGTTGATCGGATACCCTACCTAATGACCTCTACGTTTTCGAGGTCTATCTGGTGACCCGTGTCTAATGCATGCACAGCTACGGCCGAGTCTCTTATTATTGCCTGATATTCAAACCCGTTTCTTGGTAGTCTTGCAATGCGTCTCCTATGCTCAGAAATTCGTGTGCGCAATTCTCTCGCTGTTTGGCCTATGAACACATGTGCACAGTCATTACATTTAATTTTATAAACACAGTTGGTCGTCCTATCCTTGGGAAGCGGGTCCTTCAGGTGTACCAGCGCCGAACGTAACGTTCGACCTCGGTGAAAGATCACCCTTATATTTTCTTTGTTTAATACCCACCGAATTGCCTCCGAAGTGCCTTCCTAGTACGGAATTCCGACCGTCCCTATCCACTCGGCTGAGAGTCTTGACTGCCGGTGTAGCACTTTATGTACTTGGCGTTTAACTAGCCGTCTTGGGTAACCACTTTCTAATAGTTTGCCCATTGCCAGTTTCCGCGCAGCCTTTTTGTCCTCCTCCATTGTGCACAAGGTTTGTGCCCAGTAGAAAAGCGCTGAGGCTATCCCAGCGTAAACCTGTTTCGGATGACCCGAGGTGTAGTGAAGTGCGCCATCAGTTGATGTGTTGGGGCGTGTTGGGGAATTTCCAATTCACCTGCGTCGACCAATATGTTCAGAGGCAATTGCCCTGCTGGTATTGTTGTTGCAGCTGTCCGCCATTCCCTTCCTCTAGCAGCTGATTGACATGCCTCACCCAAATTGCAGTCCTCAACTGGATACCTTGTTTGTATAGCACACGGCCCATCGCTCCCTTGGGATAGTGGATGCGATAATCCCTCGCCAAAACTTGGCCAACATGAAAGGCCCGCTTCCGAGCACCGTGTGGAATGTTGAGTTGATGTTCCATCTGAAAGTTGCGGGACAGTAGTTGTTCCTTTCTTGGTCTGAGGGTATCATACGGCACACGGATTTTCCTTTGAAACAGAGTTCCAGCCGGGGTGAGTGCGTTCGGTGTCTGCGGATTTGGAGTTATACGATAAGTCAGGAGAAATGTATCAAGAATCTCGGTCAAGGTGCCTTCCTTCTTCATTTTTATCAAGGCTCTTTTGAGTGTATCTACCCGTTTGATTGTGAGTGGAAAGGTGAAGACTTGTCAGGTGCGACAGAAGTCAACAAATTCAGAGAGGTGAAATGAGTACCGAAAACAACGTATGGGGAACACTGAAACGAGAAAATATCTGTCGAAAAGTGGTGTTGGTGGCTCCAGTGGTAGTTTTCACTATTGAAG